AGAATTGAAAAGTACAGCAGAGAATTTCTGTCATTTGAACTACAACTGTAGTAGCAGGTTGTCATCCTCTATGTACACGAGTAACTTAAAGGGAAGATGGGGGACATACTCTATCAAGAACGGGTCTTGTAGGTTTTGCTAATAGAGCAATGTTGAGACTTGGACATCTTAAGTTCTTTCCTGGGTTTGGGAAGGGAGTATACTCTGATGGCCACCTGCCTTTTGTCCTGTCTGTTTTGTGTCTCATTTCCTTTAAGCTTTTCAAACTAGCTTCTTGTCCATATCACCCCTGCCAACCTGAGTCCTTCTAATATTCTCATTTGAGTCTCAGTTTTCCTCACTAGAACTGTCATCTCAATATCTCCATATCTCTGTGTGCCAAACTTTCCCTTTCAGTGGCATAAACAGCCAGATTTATGCCCTGAGTAAACCAGGGGTGGGCGGGGGGAAGAGGGACAGGAGTCTTACCCAAGACAATTCCTGACTGCTGCTCCTGCCACCACCATTGCTACATACTGCAAGAGCAACAATGTGGGGCTGCTGTTGCTGCTGGGGTACAGACTTCACAGGGGTTGGGGATGATTTTGGTGCTTCTTCTAAGCTGGTACCCAGGACTGGTGTCTTCCTCGCCCACCCCTAGGTAAGCTACTGCTCCCCTTCCCCTCCTGCCTCTAGTTGTCCTCTGCCCCTTGGTACTTCGTTCACTTTGAGTCCCCAGCTCCAACAAGCTCTTTGCACTGGTTTCTTGTCCAACTCTACTCCTACTACTGCACTTACCTAGTCTAGTAGTTGGCCCCTCTGCATTAGGGGTATGCAGCTTCCCTCTCTGCTGTTTGGGTATCAACGTGGGAAGTATTGGTATAAAAGAAGAAACAGTTCTCTCTCAGTTCCTGTGCCCTGTACTACTGTGGCCTATATGTTTGCAGGGAAAGGACAGTTAAGCACAGGTAGAACTTTTAGAGTATTTAATTACTAAACTTAACAGGTCTGTAGAGAGCACAAGTGCAATCTTTTTTTTTCCTTCCAAAGTTTGTAACTGGGCTAGTTTGGGGTAGGTTTTCATGGCAAAAGGTGCAGCTACAAAGGCAATTCTTTGCCAAAGTTCTGCCCTTTTCTCCAGTGTATAGTAGCACTAAAATCTCTGGACATAACAGATGTAAAGGGAACTGTAAGAATGGCTACAATTACAGATTTTTTCTACTCATTCTTGGATATGGTTGATATATTTTTACTGTTACTTTAAAAAAAAATAGTTGGTTCATTTTTCCAGCAAGGGAAACTTCAGTCTGAATGCTAAGCAACTGAAAGAAGTTTCTTTGACTGGAAACTTTGGGTAACCTTAAGTATAAATGTTATTGCAGCTCTGTTCATAACAATGGAAGTTGCAGGGCTTTAATAATTACACTCAGGATGTTATTTTTTTTTAAAGGTAATACTTCCCATTGTAGGATACTTTCCTGATATTTGTTCTGAATTTTCAAGGTGCATATATATAATCCAATTCTTAATAATGTGGGCTGTGCTATTTTTATTTTGTACGAAATGAAATGAGGATTTAAAAAACAGTTTCCTTTTTTATCGTATGTTACAGTTCCCTACTTTTTTTCCACAGGAGAATGTATGTTCGAGTGAGCATTGAACTACAATCAACCTCTACTCCCATTCATAAAAGGGTCTGTGGATTGTGTACTTCTTGTTGTTCTTTAAGTATATTAAATGTTTTATGCTCACATAAAGAGACAGCAAAATAGGAAGGTTTAGCTATAGGTTCTGTCGTCTAGCTGCTTCAGTCCTTGAAAGCCTGGTCTCTGGTATTCATATTTGTTGAAGTATTGGTAAATATTTTAGTCTAGGACTTTTTCCCTTGGCCTGTTAATCCTTTTATCAATCTTACAGTACGATGAGTCTTACTAACTTATGATAAATTTGAGAATTAAAATAGTTTGCAGAGGCTTTGGCTAATGACAGTGGAGTGTTTTAGCACTGTCCTGTTTTACTTACATTTGGCTCTTATTTTAGAATTCTGGATTGTTGACTTAAAAAATGCATGGTTTAAACCTTCACACAGAGAATCCTTTCCTGCATATAATACATTACAATACTTATGAATAACTGTTTTAGTTTTTTTTATTTGTCCGTAGCCTAATACCATAACATCACTACCTATTGCAAGATAAAGGCGTCATAAAGTTGCTATCTTTGACCAGCTTTACTATATGTTCCTTTAAATGTGTGGCTTTTTTGATGCTGCACTCAGAGGTGTGACTGGTATACATAGGCATTTCCAAGCTAGTTTTATTGTTATATAAAGAGGATGGGGATCAATTGTATCTTTATGGTAAGAGGACAGGAAGTAACCTATTTAATTTGCAGCAGGAAAGATTTAAGTTAGATATGAGGAAAACCTTTTTAACTGTAATGATAACTGTATACTTGAACAAGTTCTCAGGGCAGAACAACAGACTCTTGAGGTTCCTTTTAATACTAAATTTCTAGCAGGATAACTAGCTTGGATGCCAATAGCAGTGAGGTTTTTAGTAGCATGTTGGCTACCCCCTTGATTAGGGACCCAGATTTCCAAGCCGACACTGAAGCCTGTGCTACCATGGCCTGGCTGGCAAAGACTGCCTATAGTCCAGGCATTAAAATCAACCAGCACAGGTGAGCTAGGTAGCATATAGCATTGTGGAGATTCTGGGTTGCATTGCTGCCTATAGGCAGGTGAAGACAAGCTGCTGTAATTAGACAAACCTGTTATAAATGTGGCTTATTTTGGGAATGGGAAAGACCCAGAATTAGGAGCATAACGTTTTAGCCTCTCTTCCCTGTGAAATATGAGTTCTGTTCTGAGCTGTGCCTGTAAGTGGTTTGACAAAGAATCTCACCATGAGCTGGTAGCTGACCTTTTTCTTTTTTCCACCCTTTGGTTTCTGTTCCATTTTAATGCAGACTTATCCCAGTTGCATGCTTTATTTTCCTTGTACTATGGTTGTTTATGCTGCTTTTTATCCTGGTATTCTTTTTATCTTATCGTGATGCCAAGTGCACACATTTTCATGGCTTTCTTTACAGCTTTGGACATGTTTCTTAAGCCTGTTCTACATCATGGCTGTGTCTACACAAGACACTGACTATGCAGTCATTACTCTATCACAGGGGTTCTCAATCCCACCCCCCCGCTCCATCCTTCCTCGCTCACACATACCCCCTATCACCTTTCCAAGTACCCCTATGGGTACGCATACCCCCAGTTGACAACCTCTGCTCTATCATACCCCCCCTTAGTCTTCTCCTTTACAAACTGAAGAGTCCTAGCCTCTTTAGTCTCTCCTGGTATGGCAACTGCTCCCAGCCGCTGATCAGTGTGCTTACCGTACTCTGTACCTTTTCTAATTTTACATCTTTTTCTGTGATCTAAGGACCAGAACTGCACAGAGTGGGTGTATCTACATGAAATGCTTTACTGCGCAGTAGATTATTCTAGTTTAGACTAAACTACTACACAGTAAAGCGTCACCATCTACACGTGTGCAGCATTTACTGCACAGTAAATGAGTCTACTGCATGGTTAGCTGCTACTTATAAACACAGGTAGTAGATTTACCGCACAGTAGCTACTATGCAGTAGCACACGTGTAGACAGCTGACCAGGAGCAAATTTCTCTCAGTCAACCTAGGTAACAGAGGGCAGGAGAACTGTCCCCCACGGGAGCTTTCTGCTTCCCAGCCCCTGCTCTGATTGACCCCCCCCCACACGCATCTGAACACACACCCAACAGGAGCAGTTCAGTTGAGGGCTGCTCCTGTCCTTCTCTGCCCTCCTGCAGCAGCCAGGGGGAGCTCCAGGCTCCCCTGGGTGCCAGCCTCTGGATGGCAGGGGGCACGGGAGCTGATCCAGAGGCAGCATCCCACTGAGCCAAGGCAGCTCTCCCTGCCTCCTGTGGCCTCCTGCTGCCTAAGCTGACTGGGAGCAATTTGCTTCTGGTCAGCATCTACATGTGTGCTTCAGCACATTAGTTTAATGTGCCAATTTCTAGTACAGGTACTAGAAAACGGCACATTAGATTAATCTATTGTGCAGTAATTGGTGCGCACATATAGACACTGATGCTTTATGTGTACGTGCTTTTAGATTAGTCTAACATGCAGTAAAGCGTCTTGTGTAGGCACACCCCCTGTGCAGCATCCACTTCTGTCGCTGTTGGGGACAGGATACTGGGCTACACAGACCATTGATCTGACTGAGTATGGCGCTTTTTGTTCTTATGACCCTGCTTATAGCTTTTACTGCTCTGTGTGGCCCTATCTTAGTTATGAAAGACTGTTTAGATCGAAGATAGCCTCCTAAGACAATTGTCCAGATTTCCAGTGTACCCTTTTGTTTTCAAGCTTGAAATTGACACCCTGTTTCAACTTTCTGACGTCAGTTTCACTTGATCTGATGCAATGCCACGCCAGCAAACAAGTTTGCTGTGTTGCCCATCTCCCTGGAGAACATCTGTCCAAACTTCCTTGGACATTAAGAAAGCAGACAAGACTCCACAAAAACCTGCAGTCAAGACTCCTGAGAAGACTCCAGCCAAGAGCCCTTGAAAAAGACCAACCAAGAGCCCTTCAAAAAGTCCAGCAAAGTCACTTGAAAAATGTCCTTCCAAATCAATATGATTGCTATTTACAATATAAATACATTAATTTAGCCATATTACTCATCTATAATTGATTGAGTACAAAATTCTGGGGTATTTTTGGTGAAAATAGGGTATCGGGCCTTGGTTCAGGAACCAATCCACCATTTATAACATTGTTTCTTATGAGAAAATTGGTTCGAGTTACAGCATTTCAATTTAAGGACTTTTCAGGAACTAATTGTGTCGTAAGTCTGAGGACTGCCTGTATTCAAATCTCTACCAGAGAAAAAGGCCATAGGATCTCTAAGATCTAACCACCAAATGGAAATAAACCCAGCGGATACAGGAGGAGCCATAGTCATTCTAAACCGTGAGGATTACATAAAGGAAGCCAAGAGACAGGTCTCTGACACCACCTACTACAAAGAACTACAAGAAGATCCTACTCCCCTTTTCACCAAAAAACTCAACAATACCATCAAATCATTTCCACCAAGATTACAAGAAAAACTACAGACCTTGATCCCCCCGCTACCTAACCCAGGGACTTTTTACATGCTCCCTAAAATCCACAAACAAGGGAACCCTGGCAGACCTATCATATCCAACCATGGGACCCTAACTGAGGAAATATCAGGTTTCGTTGAATC